AAGCCAGACATCAAAGCTGCTGCTTTGGTTCTAGCTATGCTGCTTAGCAGTTTAAAGACTAATGTGGTCAGAAAATGATAGAGATACTCAGTAAAGACAGATTCAGACAAAAACAAACAAACAAACAACAACAAAAAAACACTTTAAACAGGTTACAGTGTGTTTAAAAATATACATAGGTTTGAGAGAAAAAAGAAAATGGGTAGAGAAAATCCTTAAAAAAGAAATTATTAAGAAAAAATATAATAAGCCATGTAAAGATGAAAATACATAGAGTCTGGATTGTGTTGTCTTTAATGTCTATACTGCTAATAAATAAATAATAACTTCTAAGAGAAATTTGATTATGGAAGCTGCTAAATTAAATCAACCTATATATTTTAAATAACTTGGCTGCAAAATTTAAATTAAAAGATTTGTTATTCACAGTCAACAAGACAAAACAGCTCCCTATAGGATGGGAAAAGATCTTCACCAACCCCACATCTTTCAGAGGGCTGATCTCCAAAATATAGAAAGAACCCAAGAAAATAGACATCAAACTATCAAATAATCCAACTAAAAAAATGGGGTATAGATCTAAACAGAGAATTCTCAGCAGAACAACTTCAAATGGTGGAAAAACACTTAAGGAAATGCTCAACATCTTTAGTTATCAGGGAAATGCAAATCAAAGCCACTCTGAGATTCCATTTTATACCATCAGAATGGCTCAGATCAAAAACACCATCAAGAACAGGTTATGCTGGAGAGGATGTGGAGAATGGGAACACTCCTCCATTGCTGGTGGGAGTGCAAACTTATATAGCCTTGTGGAAATCAGTGTGGTGATCTCTCAGAAAATTAGGGATCAACCTACCTCAAGACCCTGCAATACCACTGTTGGGCACATACCCAAAGGAGGCACATTGATACTACAAGGACATATCCTCAACAATGTTCATAGCAACATTATTCATAATAGCCAGATATTGGAAACAACCTAGATGCCCCTCAACTGAAGAATGGATGGAGAAAATGTGGTAATTTACACAATAGAGTACTCAGTGGTAAGAAACAATGATATCATACAAATTTCAGGCAAATGGACAGAAATAGAAAAATCCATCCTGAGTGAGGTAACCCAAAATCAGAAAGGCAAATATAGTACATACAGCATTTTGTTTGACAATCATATGGTAATGGCCTTTCCATGTGAACTAGTCAACACATAAGTGAGACCATGAGAGATTTATCTTTCTGTAATGTCATTCCTTACTGTCCTGAACAGTAATCCATACCGGGATGCAATGGATGAGAAAGACTTGATGGTAGAAACAACCTATAATCTTCTCTGAGATTTTTTTTTAATCTGCTGCAAAATTCAGACTTATCACTGTCAATAGTCAAGAACAAAACTGACTATGACAGTTTCATTATTGTGACATCATGATTGAGAACTACCATTTCAAAGAATCAACAATGATACATAAAACTCTAAGTGGCAACCAAAGACAAGGAAAGAATGCTTAACTTGTTTTAGTTGGCATGGTTTTTGAAGTTTTAATTTTAAAATGGAACAAATGTGTGTGTGTGTGTGTGTGTGTGTGTGTGTGTGTGTGTGTGTGTTCAGAGTTAGAGTGTGTGTGCATGTGAAGGCCAGGAATCGACTTAGGTGTTGTTCCCCAGGAGGCATTCCCCTTATTTTTGACACAGGATCTCTCACAGGCCCCAGGATGGCCAATTTGGCTAGGCTAGATGGCCAGAAAGCCCCAGGGACTTGCCTGTCTTGGCTTCTCCAGCCCTGCAATTATAAATCATGTCCCCATGCCTGCCTGGCTTTTTTCATGGGTCCTAAGGATGCTAACTCAGTTCCTCATGATTCAGGGCAAGCACTTTTGTCACTTAGCCAGTTCCCTAGCCCCAACCTTTTCTTTTCCATATGCTGTGTTTGTGAGTAGTAAGTTAAGGAAAGGGTTTTAAATAAGTTTCTTTTTATGGATTTGCTTTTGGCAAAAATATTTTCTAATTCTAGGAAAGTTGGTCTTTGCTATTAGATTATAAGGAAAATATTCAGATAGAATCTAAAGATTCTCTTTTACCTAAGGATATACACTAATCAAACCCAAACTATAATGTTTGAAGGAAATTAGGTGCTGATGAATTTTTTTGAGGTAAATGAAACAATGAACATAAGATATGCCAAACATCTGTTTATCCTGTGTGACTCCAAGAAGAATGCAAATGCTCTTGGTTGCTTTAGGAATAGCCATCTATAAACCATGTCTTTGTAGAAGTGTGAGAAGGGAAAAACTCTGTGAATCAAAGTCACTGTCTTTCCAGTTATTAGGACAGAGACTCTATTCAGAAGACAACACTCTAATTCTATATTGACCATGCATAGTTATCCTTTCATTAATTCCTATGACATAGTGGAAATCATTTTCACTTTATCTTTAAATACAAATATCTCCAAACATGTCATAATGGTTTATGTGTAGAAATGTTTTAAGATAAAATTCTCTACCTTGTTATTTTTGAGAGTGTATTGAATGTAATTTAAGCTTCTTCTAATAGCTTAAGAGTTAACTCAATAGTTATTGAAGGCTTTACATTCAATAACTAGAAATGTGTGCTGGGAAATGTGTAAGATGTATTGATAAAACAATGAATAAAACACCGACTTTGTCCATGGGGAACTGAGAACAGAGAAATATGACAGAAAAAAAACTGTGTGTGTGTGTGTGTGTGTGTGTGTGTGTGTGTGTGTGTGTGTGTGTATGTGTATTGTATGGAAGAAAATTTAAAGTTACAAAGGTATAAGTCTAAAAGAAGTATGGCAGAACTGCAGGGGGTATTAATCCTTTAAGGAAAAACATTAAGGATATATAATTCTGAATAAAAATAACAGCCATTCTATAATTTGATGAAAGTTACTTTTTTTTCTATAAAAGCAAAAGATCAAGTCACCTTTTGAGATTGGAGTGGTGAGGGATAATATTGGCATCTTAAGGATGGATTACAATGTTCTGGAATTATTACTATGGCCATTCTTAGGAAATGCTGCTAACCAAAAGAGCAAATAGTAGGCAGTATCTGGGATCAGGTGACCTTAGTAGCTGTACTAATGAGGGCTTTGGTGTAAGGTACTTGTGCAGCAATCAGCTAATGATGCATAGCACTGAAACACAGAGGACCAATCAGAGCTGGGCATAATAATCCGCCTCAAACAGCAAGGCAGGTATGTTAATGTCGTTTTGTAGCTCCCGAGAATACAATGGATATAAGTAAAGAAAACATCATTTAATTGCTGATATCACCACAGTCTTATCTAATGGGTCTTCAGCATGAGATATTACTGCCAAAAAACTCTACAGAATCTGATCAGTCCTTTATGTCTAGTTAAAACCTTAGAAAAACAGAAGGGAAACAGCAACATGATAAGGTCATCTTAATAATATAGATGTGACTAGCAAAACCCAGCTAGGAAGCTCAGCAGGACAACAATCTATTCTGTAACAAATACATTGCAATAACAGAAAATGAGAGAGAAAAAAGAACGTATAGACTCTAAGAGACTTAAGGTATGTATCAATCAATTACAGTATGTGGATCTGATTTAAACAAATATAAATATGAAACAAAAAACTGGGTAATTAGTTGTTAATTTCTAAATGTAATTATAGAAACAATACTTTAAAGTCTTTATTGAGGACATATATATGTACAAATAAAATAATGTTCATATAGTTATTGACTTCAAATTAATCTACTTGGAAAGAGGGGACATTCATGGACAAAGTTTCCATAGATGATCCTTAGTGGTATAAAGTTTTATTATAATATCTCCTATATTATTTTTTTTAAAAACAGGACTCTTTTTAGTTGAGTCAACTCCTTGACTCAAGACATCCCCCACCTCAGCTTCCTAAATAGGAAGGACAAAGAGCTCATGCCATAGTTCCCAGGTATGTTTCCTCTACCTTTATGTTTAAATTTTTACATTGCAAAAGAATTAACAACAACATTAGAATTCACAGGTAGAAAGGGACCCTCTAGGGGTGGGCTAATTACCTTAAGGAAAAGTGGGAGGATTAAAGGACTGAATGGGAGGGTGGCTAGGTGGTCTTATCTGGTAGGATGCCAGGAAAAGAGGGGAAATGGGCACCATAGGTGTTTCAGGTCTCAGAATATTGTATTAACCCTGTCATCCCAGCTTTGGAGTTAAGGAAGTGAACGCAGAGACAGCAGAGACAGTGTGTGTCTGAGTCAGTGCTGTCTGAGGAAAGCCAGGAACATGATGGGAAGCCCAGGTCCTCATTAAAACATGACTGGTCAGAAGAACAGCAGAAGCAGATAATACTTGTTTAGACCACTATAACAGATGCCATCACAAGATTGTGTCCCTTTGTTATCAGCCAATTGTCCTTGTCAGTGATATGGTCATTTCTCCAAGAGAGGTCAGATCTGAATGGTTTTTCAAGTGCTGCTGCACAGCTGTGTACAAATTGATATTTGCTTCATCACTGTTGGGGTTTTTTGTTTGTTTGTTGCTTTCTTCAAAGTTGGAAGTAAAAAAGGTATAATAAAAGGCATTTAATCATCAGAGAAGGAGGTCTTGGTTACACGGAGGTTAAGGATTGTCTGTCATTCTTCCTAGTCTTTAGAGATTAAAAATTACAAAAAAATTACCATATTTCAAAAGCTACATCTTTTCTTTGCTTATAAAACTTCTTCCAATGTTTTGGTGTGATTTCCTTTTACAAGCAAAAAGCATGTTTTCTTTTTCATGTATAATTTCCCAGATGGAAGTACATGTTTGTACTAAAGTATTCCCATTATTTATTCTAGGTCCACAAAGAACAGTTTATAGTAAAGGGACATATACTCATAGCTGTCATCATTCATTTCTGCTTTAAACGTGTAGGAAACAAAACATAGCACATCTTTCAGATGAAAACTGTAAATATGTGAGTTTATAACATTCCCAGAACAATTTATTCTTAAGAAAATTAACTTACTCTCTTGTCTTTGGTACACAATGAACAGTTTTGCTTTTGAGCACATTCTACAAGAAAATAAAAAGCATAAAAATTAAAACCAAAGCCAATTTATTCCTGTTTCAACCCATACTCATCCATTTTCAAACATTTTGCTTTTTTATTTACATACTCCTAAATATTTTCCTCATGTGGTGGTTTGAATAATAACAACCCTATAGACACACATATTTGAATAATTGGTCCCTAGTTGGTAGAACTGTCTTGGGAGGGATTAGGAGGTGTGGCCTCGCTGGAGTAAGTGTGGCTTTGAGGCTTAAAAGCCCACACCAGGCTTGTGTCTCCCTCTCTGCCTCCTGCTTATGGATGAGCTGCTTTCAGAGCCTCAGTTAGTACTCAGTGGCATGCCAGCCTGACTGCCGCCATGCTTGCCAGCATGATGGCGGTAGACTCACCCTCTGAAACTATAAGCAAGTCTCCTAAATAAATGCTTTCCTTTAGAAGATGCCTTGGTCATTCTGTTCCTTCACAGCAATAGGAAAGTAACTAAGATACTCCACCATTCAAGTTCATCCCTATTCATTTCCTCTAGTTTCTGGAAAAACCTGATGGCATTATCCAATGTTGATTAGCCAACTTCTAAAAACAAACTCCCAAAACATAATCAAAATAAGAAAATTATCAATATTACCACACAGTTAATACACCAGACTTTAAAAATACTTTAGTTACTCCTCTGTTGCCAGAACAGTTTTACAAAGACTTAGCTAATTGATTAGTCCTTTAATTAAGAAAGAAACTTGCAGTTCTCCATCCTGTTTTGCCATGAAACTTAAAAGTTCCTCCCAGATACAGATTTTTTTATTTTGTAGAAAGGTAATAGTATCAGATATATTTGAAAGTTCTAGAATGAAAACTGTGAGTTCAAATTTAAAAACTCATTTTGGTGTCTCATGGTTTACTCTGGTAGCTTCTGAAAGAAAAAAAGAGTTTATATCTGATGCTCATGTTTTATGGCACAGGAATAAAAAATCATTCTACCTATTATTTTGTGGCAGAATTCACAGGCTTCATAAGGACAGTCTATTTAATTTCGGATTGTTTAATTAGAAGCAGAACTCACCTGGCTAGGAAAAAAAAGCTTACAGTTTAGTTTTCAAATTAAATCCCATTGATCACTAGTTCTTTTCCTACCCCTGGATAATTAAAATAAAATTCTTGCAGGAACACTAAGACAATGAAAAAAAACAAAGTAAACAGAAAATATTCTATGGCTTCAAGAATATCTGAGACTCTGCTCCAGGCTTATTTCAGGAGGAATGATCTGGTCACAGTTTCCCAAACTCTTTGGCAAGTTTGTTTTAACTATCATCATACTTTAGAGTAATTTCAGATGTCAAGAGCATTGTGAAGATGACACAGTAGTCCCTGCATACTCTGTAACCATTTTTTTTTTCTATTGAAACATCTTGTACTCCAGGTCACACAGAGAAACTAGGGCCAATAAGGTGGGCTCAGTCAGTAAAGGTACCTGCCTTATAAGCCTGAATACCTGAGTTCAAGCCATATAAAAGTAGAGGGAGAGAGTTGACTGCATGGAGTTCTTCTTTGACTCCCACGTGTGCACGATGGCATGGGTGGTCCTGTAGATACACACCACACTCACAAATAAAAATAAAATTAAATAAACTTTAAAAACTGAGAAACCAAAATTAACTTATTGCTTTGAACTAAACTCCAGATTTCCTCCGGATTTCACTAGTTTTTTACACTAACCTTGTTTGTGGAATTCCTTATTGCCTTCAGTCATCTTGTGTCTTCTATCTGCAACAGGGCTTAATGTCTATCCTTGTTTGTCATGACATGGGCATTTTTGATGAGTGTGTATCAGCATTTTATAGGACACCTTCAGTTTGTACTTGTATTTGTAAGTGTGTGTGTGTGTGTGTTTGTGTGTGTGTGTGTGTAGGTTCACATACACCAAAGACATGTGTGGATCTCAGAGGACAGTCTCCAGTGTTGGTTCCCACCTGCTACCTTGTTTTGAAGGAAATCTCTTCCTGCATATGCCAAGTTAGTTGGTCATGGGATTCCAGGAATTAACATGTCTGTCTTCCCTCTTGCCACAGGTGAGGGTTACAGACGTGTGTTGCTGCATCTGACTGTACACGGCTTCTGGACTGTACATGCTTGGGGCTTAGGTGCTTGCTCCACTGCACTATCTTCTAAGCCCCAGCCTGGTTTTGATAATTGTTTCCCTCATAGATTTCTCTCCATGCAATCACATTTTCCATTACTTATAGAACATCATTTCCCTAGTTGTGTGATATATTGCTGATCACTCTCTCTACAATATCCAGAATGTTGCTGATCCAGCAAATCTTTTCTTCTTCCATGAGGGACAATTACAAATGTCTAGAGGCATCTGACATCAATATTTATAACTAATTTGTCTTAGGATTTTTATTGCTGTGAAGACACATCATGACCACAGCAACCCTTATAAAAGAAAATATTTAATTTGGGTGACTTTCTTACAGTTCAGAGGTTTGGTCCATTATCATCATGGTGGGACACGGCACTGCGCAGGCAGACAAAGTACTGGAGAAACAGCTGAGAGTCTTACATCTTGCAGGCAACCGGAAGTCGTTTGTCTCACCGGGCAGCATCTTGAGCATGTATGAGACCTCAAAGCTTGCCCTGACAGTGACACACTTCCTCTAACAAAGCCACACCTACTCCAACAAAGCCACATCTCCTAATAGTGCCATTCCCTATGAGCTTATGGAGGCCAGTTACATTCAAACTACAACAAATTTTCTTTATATTGCCATTATAGTAAATAAATTAACAAAGTTACTTTGGGAAGATATTTTTTTCAAGGACAGTAAGAGAAAAAAGATAAACAAGATTCTATTTACTAAAATCCTAGCTGAACCAGAAACTCTGATATACTCACTTAAAAGTTAGGAGGCGTTCCTAGATGTGTAGCTCATTTCTGCAGGAACATTTGAGTATCTAGTATGAATTACAGCAGCTACCACAAGGCTGATGAGTGAGCTTGTGTGGACTATATATACTTCTATTGTCTGTTGACACTTCTCGGTATAGATAATGGTCTTTCCCACCCAGCCTAAAAAGGACCCCAGGAGTTATTGTCTATAATAGTCTTATACTCTCTCTACTGAGATCTTGAAGACAAGGTTGCTTAGACTTGTGAACTACTAAGATTTAAAATTTTTCTTTAACAAAAAGGTCATAACTTACAACCTCATAATATTTTCTATGAGTTCCTTCATAGAAATTGTTTGTTTTCCCCATTAGTATTTTTTTTTATAACATTATGAGGGATCTTACTCCTAAACTCAGGAGCTAAAATTAGGACAATTGTATCATAATACCTGATGGTTCCAGACTTGCTAAGAGCAGCCCAAGGAACCTGCCAAATGGTCACAGAAAATGTTCTGTGTTTTCTAGAGCACATAAGTTCCAGATTAAAATTTTTGGGATTCAGGATTCTAGCCAACCATCAGATATACTGACCTATTCTGGGAGAATGCTATTGATGAACTAGCCTGCCTCTATCTTAGGCTTAAAAGCCATCTTACAGTAAAAACAAACTGTTTTTTAATTATTATTATTATTATTTAATTATTAATTAATTTATTTATTTATTTTATGATTAAATCTATGTTTCTCAAGGATTTGCTCATGCCCCACCTATAACCTTAACTAAAAAATGATTCTGTACAGCCTGTTCCAAGAAGCAGTAACCCTACCTTTGTTTCAAAAGGTTATTATGACCACCTGTCGTTATGACAACCTAGTTATGCCCACCTTGCAACCATGTCTTTGCTTCAGGAGGTTGTTATGACTAACTTCTTATTCTTATATTCTGCTTCTATAATCCTACCTATTTGGCCACCAAATACCCCATTTGGAAAGTCTCTACCCCTGAGCTGCAAAACCCTTGTCTTCCTCATACCAAATGCTGACCTCTTGAGCCCCACTTTAGAGGGACAGCCCATGTACACGAATAAAAAAAGCTTACTTTAATTGCTTGGTTTAATTAATTTAGCCATGATGATTTGAGTCAGTGGTCTTCCTCCTTGTATCTTTACGATTAACAGTTATGGCCTTCAAAGGCAGGGATCTTGTATAGTATATAGAAGTAGCTATAAAAGGCAGGTAATCATTTATCAGCTCCATCAAAAGACTTTTGAGACCATGGCTCTGAGGAGTGGTTTGAGGCAAGGGAATGGGGCAGGCAGATTCAGAAGGCCTTTGCAAAGGCTGCAAAATTAGCACACTGAAAAAAACAAGTTGGTAAAAATGAAGGGCAGAACAGCCTCCCACTAACCCTTCTCCCATCCCATCACCAAGGCCAGCAGAGTGGGAGAGGTTGCACTCTAAAGTGTCTGGTTCATCACAATGCTAAAATCGAGGATAGGAATTTAAGAAGCTAATGAGACATGACACACATGAAGATAGACCCAGACCTGCAACAGAAAAGCATGTGTAGAAAACTTCACACTCTGCAGATGACCCCCAAAGCATGTGATAATTGATATAAACACCCCAACTCTTCAGGGCCCTAAGTGCATCTTTCCTTAGTAAACTAACTGTCCCTGCTTCTGTTGTAAAGATTCTCTCTACCCCAGTGTTGTACTTGATCTGTTGATTTCTCATACAAATATTAATTTGTCAGATATTCTTTTTAAAAAATATATCTATCCTTTGCTGTATACATTTTTAAAATATTTTAATTAATGTTATTGCATGTAAATATGAATGTAAATATGAAATAGTACTGGCTCCTCTACTTGCTGTTTAAAATCTCTCTTATTTAATATTAATATTGCTACATTTGCCTTCTTCAGTAGCATTTGCAAAGAATTTTTTGTTTAGGCTCAAGAACTATTTTATTCAGGTTTAAAAGGAAAAGAAAACAACAACAACAAAACCCAAGGCAGAAGCTGTAAATATCAGTAGCTGTCAAAAGCAGGCAATGAAGAACAAAAAAGCCATGCTGTGTGTGCAAGCATGGAGGTCAGATACATGGAGGATAAACAGCCTGGTGATGAGTAGGAGACCCAGACTTACAGGAAGCATGCTTAGAAAAGAGAAGAGACAAATTAGATGGTGGTCAGACTTGAGGTTGATGGTTGCAGCTGGGTGAGCTACTGCAGTATGGGCAGGCATTCTGGAAAGGAAGACTTCATCACCTCAAGAAAGGACTAAGTAGTTCACCTGTCTCTGGCTTGGCTTCCTAGGGATGAACCCTTGACCTGGTGGTTGACCCCCTCAGATGGAATGCTAGGTCTCCGCCCTAGCCAGAAATTCCAGTCTCCTGACCAGAAGGTTTTATCTTAGCCCATCTTGCATGCCACTTTTATGTGTCTCCCTCTGAAGAGGTAACCCTAAAATCATTTAAGAACCAGATCAGGTTTGAGAGCCCGCAAACACTCTGGCATGTCTAGCCTTGCCAAGAAGCAGAAACCAGTCACTTTTCTCCTGGGTCTTTTTATATAAACTGCATAGCCTATTTCTACCTCCGGTTCTCAGCAATACAATTTAGGCAGTGGAAACAAAAGGAGTCCAGTTTTATCTCGATTTCGTCAAAAACATCAAGAACTTTCAAAATGGCCTTACCACCACCACCTGACCACCACCACCAAATGGCAAGTTTTGAAAAGGACTATTGAGCCAGCCAGGATGCTCCAACCAAAAATCCAGGGGGAGCAGTCATAGCACCCTGCCTGGTTCCACGGGTCACTCACCCATTTCAACGTTTTTTGCTTCTAACTGCCGTTTCCAGTGATTGTGAGTTTTAGTAAATGTATGGTCAGAGAAACTGATAAACAGTTGAATGAGCGCTAGCGAGAGGAATACCGGCAGGAGAATCTGGCTCCATGCCCTCAGCCAACACATGACTCCTCTTGCCCTCTAGGCTGGACTAGATAGGATGATCCTGCTCAGGGACCCTGACCAGCCCTGGGCCCTCAGCCCTCAGCCCTCGGCCCTCAGCCCTCCTGTTCTGACCCCTTGCACGCCAGCATAATTAGCAGAACCTTAGAATGTTCAGGCTAGAATGAGAACGTTGAGACTGCACTGCTGGTGTGCACTAGACCCTGACCACCACAGGAAGTTTGTCCACTGGACTTAATGAAAGTCTCTTTCTCCGCCCATCCCCCACCCTGCTCCTGAAGCCTATTGTTTTATTCTTCTGTGCTGCTGACTTTGATGAAAGGACTAGGTTTTAATTTCCAGTGTCCATAGTATATAAAGCAATTGGCCCTCTGGAGAGCATGCCTCAGATGTAAATGAATCTCCCCTCTCTAGGCTCTCTCAGGATGAATGCTACACGGCATGAGGCAAAACTCATGGTCTGAAAACTTTCAGTCCTGCCCTTGACTTGGTTGGGGACAGCTGATGTACTCTATTGCAGTTGCTCAATGTGTGGAGTGTTTTAGGAAGTATACAGATGAACCTCTCTTATTTTCACAATCATTTATTTAGTAGTTATATAATGGCAATTATGTAAACGTGCCTTTTAAAGTCAAAAGTGTTTTTTAAAAATCAACTTTCAGAAATATTACAGCTGTACAAAAAGGACGTGGGAAGAGTTGGGCAGGTGGGTCCACAAGGCTCAAACTGGAGCGTTACTGACTTGTCAGAATGTAGAGAACTTCAGGTGAATGGGAGAGTGATGGAAATGTGCCCTTACATAAAGACCATGTCATTCAGTTTTTAAGAATGGTAGTGGAGTGGCTTCCCATATTCCCGGCATATTGTGTTTTACCAATGAATTATCCTAACACTGACCATAAGTATGGAGGAAGGGAAGACATGATCCAGAGTTCAGGTTCCTTTTCCCTTGTCTTTTGGTCAGGCAAACAGCAAACAGAGGACTATAATATGAAATGTGTTTACAAACAAGAGAAGCATGAAGCAAAACAGGAAAATAAGCAGAGATAGGAGGAGCCCATTTAGAAAAGGAAGCCTAAGAAGGGAATAAGTACTGCCAAGAGATCATCGCTAATACAAGACATCTGTAAGTCACTGTGGTTAGGGTGTGTGTGTGTGTGTGTGTGTGTGTGTGTGTGTGTGTGTGTATTCTCAGTAAGTGCTTCTTGATGCTCATTAGCTCTTATGACACAACCCGACATGAGAGTGAGGCATGAAATATATACCTGAGAAAATCAATGCATGGAATTTTTCCTGGCTCAGAGGTGGGCAAGCGATTTAGGTTACCCATTCCAAGACACTCATGGAGTTTTTTCAGAAGCTTGGGGGAAGGATGCATGCTTCCTCTGGTTTCAAACTTGGAAGGATTTGGTCTCAACGGCTGCTAAAAAGCCAGCTTGATGTAGAGTATGCTGTGAAATGCCCATCTCGAAGCAAAAGTGACTGATGACTTCAGCTGTTATGACTCAGATTCCTCTACATATTCATCCCAACACTATGCTTCCTGAAAATTGTTCAGTCAAGACTAAACAGGGTAGGGATACTAATATGGAGACCTGGGCGTGCAGACTCCCCATAAATCTATTTGAAACTGTCTTGGTAGTCTGCAGTGCTCTGAACCACTGCCAGTCAACACTTCTTGTTTCTCCCCTTCACAGGGATACAACAGTATGAGCGTTTGAGAAGTCCTGCCTTCTGGAACTTTCTCCCCTTTATCTTGCCCAGCGTTTCTTTAATGACTATCTTGAATCTGTATGTATTTTGCCACATGATTCTCAAAGAACCCAAACTAATTCAAGAAGAGTTCTGGAAAATGGTGTGATGTTAGCCAGCATGCTTGGCCTCACTCAGGATTCTGGTTACCTGGTGACTGTAGTCCTCTAGCAGTACTATGGGAGGGTACCACAGGTTGGTCGACTTGAACAACAGAACTTGTTGCCATTCTGGAGGTTAGAGGCCTCCGACAAGGTTGGCCTCTACAGAGACTTCTCTCTTTAAAATATTGAGCAGCTCCTTCTGGCTATGTTCTCACATCATGTGTACTTTTCTCTGCGCACACAAACCCCTAGCATCTCTTCTTCCCATGAGGACTAAGTACTCAAAGCTTAGGACCCCACTTTTATGACATCATTTATCTTTAATTAGCTCCTCAGAGTCCCTGTTTCTACATTGTTATCCTGGGGGCAAGGACTTCAGCACACAAGTCTGGAGGGAACATAATTCACAGCCTAATCGTTTGCCACAGTTTGAAGAATTTCTCTGTTATCATTCAGCTTACTGTTTTGTTCAGTATACGCTTTGTCTTTCAAAATTATTCCTGATGCCCTTCACAATATACAAATCTTACTTTTTCTCTTCTCCCTGCTTCTCAAGTAATCTCTGTCCTCACCTTAGTCATAAGCAAATGTGTGCCAATCAAAACCATTTTCAAGTACTTTCTTATATATTTGCACTTGTCAGGTACACAGTTAATATTTAAACATCTTCAAAAGGTGGAAATAGCCAACAAACAGGAGAAATCCTATTCAGAAATATTTAAGTATGACTACTACCGCCACCTGTTGGTAGCAACAGTAATGGCATGTTTTTAATTTAGTTAAGTTCTGGTCCATGGATATGGGAGTAAAGATGACGTAGCATCTCTGTTACTCTTTGTTGTTCCTTACCGCTCTGTATTAGTGAAAGTAGAGGAGTGGCAAGAGTTACAAAAATAAAGGATGGTGACACATTTCCAGGTTATAGTGGAGGGAAGAGGCTGCCAGATACCATTAGCAGGGACTACACGGGAGTCCTGCTGCATTAGAGCTGTTGTCTTAGAGCTGCAGAAATTATTTGTCTGATGCAGCAGGGGAAATTCATATCATTATTCCTTTGTCTCTCTCCTCCCATTATCTTTTCAAAGCCAAGGGGGCAGAGAAACTTAGGCATGGCAACTGTAAAGGGTAAGGTAGAGCAGAGAAAGACAAAAGATGGATTTGGAAGCTTAACCAGCACAGCCTAAGCCACATCCCCCCTCCATATGCATAAACTCACTTCCTAACATGTATGTTTACTTTACATGCTTGATACTTATATTAACCTAAGATTAAGTTATCAAATGTCTCATCTCTGATGATAATCTCCCATACCCCATTATAGGAGAAACTCATAAATACGTATTTTTATAGAAATGAAAGAATGAATACATACTGATTTTCTATCTTCACAACTTACCTTGCTGGAGAGAATGGGTTACTATAACCCATTTCATGTTATGTCCAATTCTCAGTGAATTTCTATCTCAAGTTCAAAATGTTGAATTCTAATTTTGAGCCATACATGTATCAGCAAAGCAAACATGATAAATTCTCCTGGTTCCTGATTTTTAGTGGGTAAGGGGCAAATTTCAACACCAATTTGCTAGGACTGCTTCCCTAACAGTTTAACTTTTAAACAAAAATAAAGGCATATTTAAAAAATAAGCCTACTATCTTTATCTCTGATCTGGCTAAACACACATACAAAGGCTTAAAATGAAGTTGAGAGTCACATTTATCTCCAATGGCAGCGCTAAGATCAACCCTAAATGCAGTCAAATGTAACGTGACAGCTGAACTTTTAAATAAACAGCCTGTCGAAGGCCAGCAGACAAAAAGTCCCCATCTGCTATAGGTTAATAAGTGAATATTGTTCCAGCCAGTGCCTACATCTCTTCTGAAGACACAGGAAAAATGGTGACTGATGTTCACCCCTTCACTCTGACCATTGTCAAAGGACTTGAAGGACTGTAGAAGGTGCCCGGTAGGACATTTAAGACAAAAAGACAAGTGTTCTCATCATGGCTGTCTAATTACCATGTCGACAGAATGACAGGGTCACATCAATATTTTAGTAGTACTACCAATCTCTACACCTTGGAGCAGTTAATTTTCCAAATGTCACAGTCCTTGTACATTCCTAATAAGGGTGGGAAAGCACAATGGAATTTGTTGGTATCCTGTTGTTATATGAAAAGGAATGTTTGTAATCTACAGGACATTTCTGAGGGCACATATATAGCATGAAAAGACATTTCAATGGAAAACACATATACTCTGGTTGGTAAATGTTGCTAAGTGCACCATTCAGCAAATGTTCCACTATATTGAGTTTCAAGCACCGGCTAAATTATATTATGGTGAGATTTGTGATTAAGGTATGCTAACTCAAAATGACAATCCAAGGGCATTTAAAGCCTACATTGCAATGAAACCTGGCAGCACAGAAACAGCTGCCTTAATTCTGCTCCTCTAATATTTCAAAGGAAGAATATCAATGGACTTCTGATACCATATGTGCCAACTGCAGAAATTCTAGAACACCACAAGAGACCATGGGTGAAAGGTCACCCTGCCTTATACAGATGGCACATTTAATTATTAAAGAGCAATTTTCATCATCTAATCATGTCAGGCTTGAAATAAAAGGTCTTCTTGGGTATCCTGAAATTTGTTGCAACCTAAACTCCACTATCTAACTTGTATGAAGCCAGTAAGTAGCATATGTTATGTCATACTCTAACTTGATTTACATTCTTGTGTGAGTTGAATTCATTTTGCAGGCAGACTCTAAAAGACATCTCATGGGAAAAAAATGAAGGTCATATCTTTGGCAGAGAATTTTTAAATTAAATCTAAATCTTTGCTTCAGTCTTCAATCTGGCTCAAATTCCCCAAGAGAATGGTATCTCCTTTCATCAGCATTACTTGTACTTCTGCTAGATTTCTCATCTAACTTCAAAAATGTTATGAAAAATAGTCACTTTAAATTTTGTCTACATACACATATACAAAAGTACATAACAATGCTATTGCACTGCCTGCCGTATGAGTGTCTTACTTTTCCAGCTGCTGTGATAAAAATACCCCGATGAAAGCAACTTCAAAAGAGAAAATTAAATGTGGTTCACAGTTCGAGGTTACTATTGGGGAAGTCATGAAAGCAGGGGTGTGAGGCAGTCAGTATAGGCTAACTGCTCTCAGGAAGCAGAAAAGGGTGAAAGTTCATGCTCAGCTTACTCTCCCCTTCTTATACAATACAG